AGCGATGGCCTCCAACCTAAGAGCGATGGCCTCCAACCTAAGAGCGAAGGCCTCCAACCTAAGAGCGAAGGCCTCCAACCTAATAGCAATGGCCTCCACCTTGTAGCGATGGCGTCCAACCTAATAGCGATGGCCTCGGACCTAGTAGCGATGGCCTCCAACCGCTTCGTGCGAGATCGGCCGAAATGCGAGCTTGGGTGTTGATCGCAAAGATCGGCCGATTGCAGCGCGTTGCATTCAAGTCTTTTCTGGTGCAAAAGTGGGTCATTAAGTTGATCAAGTTTGCTAGACTCCCAGGCCCTCAAAGGATTTCGATTGAGCTGTTGGGAGGGCTGTGACGCTTTTCGTGCTGACGCGTTTCGTGCTTCAAAACCATGATTCCAGTGCTCAAGCGAGCAGACAAATTGCGGAGAAATCGAACCAAAGTGAAGGGTTGCGGTTACATGTGAAACAAAATTCATGAGAAAAACCAAGCTGTCCTACTCATGCACTGACTCAGCTATCACAACACTGACTCAGCTTCTCCTTTCCTCTCACTCTCTGTCATCGCTCTCCAAAAAAGAAAAACGACATTTGACACTCATAAGTCCTCCATCTTCTCCTTCCCTCTCACTGTTCCATCTGCTTATCTCTTCGGGAAACGAAAGAACCTTCCTTCGAAAGAAGGAAAGATCTCGGTTTCTCGTCTCACCTTCTCATCTTCTTCTCTATGTCCCACTCCTCAAAACGGTTTTCTTAGGCCATCGCTACACCCGAGCTGAGGGCCCGACCAGGAACCGATGGCGTTTCTGCATCGCGTCGGAGGCCAAGCGCGTGATCAGGCGCGTGAGTTCATCGCTACCAAATGAGCACAAAGAAAGATCAAGGAGTGTGTTCAATGTGGAATAGGAGTCCTTTTCGCGACGCTCATGAACAATGTGCATCTCCAATATGGAAACTCGGCCTCTCAAGGTCTTTTCAATCCAAATTGATCGAGTAGTTCGCTGCGGAGCAAGGTATGATGAAACCCCCGAGCACTCGACGAATGTTTGAAAACAAGCAAGGCAATCCGAACGCCACGGAGATGGTGAAGACTTGTAGGGAACAAATCATCCATCTTATAAAGATGTTTTCCATGTGTCTTCCCAAAAAAGACTTAACATGTTGTTCTTGTGGTTAAAAAACGCGGTTAAACTATGTTAAAATGTACTTCCCACATGTCCGGTTAAACATGTGAATCCACAGCTCCTCAGGCCGGGCGGAGCATGCATTCTTTGGTCTTTGGGAAGCGTGGCCTTTGGAAGACATAACTGAAGGAAAAGCGTCTGAAGCAGACCCAGTGGAGCCAAATTATATATGGTTTAATTAGTTTGTTTTTTTTTGGGGGGGGGTAGGCCGCTAGTAGCTACAGGTAGCCAGGTAGCTAGGTTTTAGGGAATCTTAACAGAAGCTATTCGGTTGGAGGCCATGCTAGTCGGTTGGAGGCCATCGCCTTGGACGGCGTTGACCTTCAGTGTCTTCATGTGGCCTCTCCACAACGATTGGACAGACAGGGTGGCCAGTGCACATGATGCCTTGGCAAGTCTCGAAAGCTAGAGTTTCACCATTGCATGTTTCACCAAGTTTCAGCTGCTGATTCCAAATACGTGAGGTGAAGAAGATCCTTAAAATAAAGGAAGCACCTAATATGCATGTTCTGTTGTTGCTTCAATTTGGGATAAGCACGCACAGTCCAAAAGGATAAGAACACCAGAAAGAAGAACTGTATTCCAAAAATTTTCCAGATTTTCCTTCGATTTTCCATCTAAAACGATTTTCCCTCTTGTCATTTCACACTGGCAAAAGTCAAAACGACAACGGCGCTTGCATGCACAAAGCCATCCGTCAAACCAATCACCACTTCCATGAGTCCATTTTCCGCGTTTTTTGCCACGTTTGGGTGAAACTCCGCGCTGAACAGCTCTGTGGCTTCTGTACCAGCCGCTCACCGATCGTTTGTGGCAAGTTGCCTCGTCAACTCATCTTTTCCCAGTTTAATGTGCCGCCTTTGTATCTTTATATCAAAGTGCAAAGTTTGCAACAACAAAAAAGACTACACATCTTACAATGGAGAAGACGCACGTGCAGCGAGCAAAAGAAAGTCGCAATTTGATACATGGAATGAAACAAACCGTCCAATGCTCACAGTCGGGTCAGAAAGAGCCTCACAAACCAAAACTGCTTCAAGAAGCAGCATTTAGAAAGAAAAGCATTGCCACACTGCGCACACGTTGCTCACAAACAAGCCAGCCTCTATGGAATGAGGTAACCATAGCAGTCCAACCTGGAATGATTGGTTGACCCCCGCACTTCAACAAGGCGTTGGTAACAAGTATATTCAGAGTATTAACATGTATATACTGAGGGGAGGACTTGGAGACACCGCGTTTAATGGAAGCTTCTTCGTCTTCTTTGCTCCAGTTGCCGTCCTGTGGAGAAGGCATTCAAATTAAAAAAGAGCTGACTAAACACGAACTGGTAGGTCATTTAAGCTACTGCAACTAGCAAAACGAGTTGCTGGCACCACGGCTCCTCCTGTTGGCTAAATATGTCTATCTTGGAAGGTGCAATGGATAGTTCTTCTTCCTTCTTGATCGCCTGAGAGCTGAACGACAATACCACCCATACACTTTTGCTTTCAAGAAAACATGTTCTGCTATTTTTTCACTGTCTGCTTTGTCTTCTACTCAACATCAACTAAGGCACTATTGGACATGAACGCAAACGACGAACTCACAGCACGTGTTGCAAAAATGGTCGCTCTGCTTAATCTTTGTCATTGCCCACCTCAAAGCTGCTCCAAAACAAAATGAAAAGAAATTCCATTTGAGGCCTGCACCTTCTTCAAATAATCCTGTCAACGGAGGGTTTGCAAACAAAAATGCCAGAAAAAAACAAAAGCGGAATGGCAATGATATGGCTGGGATGAAAACATGTCAAGTGCACAATGTTTGAAGGCGCAGGGTCAATCTGGAAAGCATTGCCGACCAACTCGAAGCCGCCATTGTCGTCCTGCAAGGTCAACAGCCGAGACATTCAAAAAACTCAACAGCAGACTTACCCACAACAAAACTTTGAACTTGAGAGGAAAACATGAACACATGAACACTATCAGCCTACATCCTCCTCCTAATCTAAGACTCAGCGAGCTGGCACAACCAAAAATAGGTATTACCGCAAGGTCAACCCCAAGACATTCAAACCCAAATGGGTACAATCCTGTGCTACTGGCATTTACTCATCAAAGGGCACAGCAAAGGAACAAGGGCATGGCAGAAAATCATGCAAAGTCTTTAGTCTCAAACATGTCTATCAATTTGAGGAAAATGTTGGTAAGATATCATTCAAATCCTGAGGAATAAGCAACCCTGCAATCTCCCCCCAAGAGTCCTGAACTCTACAAAGAACAAAACATGACAGTGCTTTTGTTTGGCAAGGGAACTTGCCCACATTTTAGGGCTTGGGAGGAACATTACATAGACACCCTTTCTC